CCAATGCCTCCTGTTTCAAGTCTCTTCCTGGCAGGAGCGTCCTGAAGCCCCCATCCCCCACCCAAATGCTGCCCTCCAGGAAACAAGACTAGCCACTTCTACCCCATGCCTCTTGCTTTAGCCACATGGTCCTCGGGCGCTCTTTACACACCACACTGCGGCCACCTCAGAGCCTCTGCACACACTGTTCTTGCTACCTGGAACACACAGCCCCACGCAAGACAAATGATCCATACAGCGTCAACTGCTGTCACTGTCTGAAGCCCAAGTCCTAGTCCAGTCTGGGTTCAACAGTCCTACCTCGACCTTCCGTCCTTCCTCACAGGAGTTAAGAACGATCCACAATACCAGATCCAGGGGCTCTGACACCCTCTTCTAGCCTCTGGGTCACTGCACACGCAGACATATATAAAGGCAAAACACCCATACACATAAAATAAAAATAAATAAGTAAGTAAATCTTGGGGTACAGAACGGGAGGAGAGAAGGGAGGGAAAATGCAATAGGCATGTAAAATAAATGAAAGAAATGTTATTTAAATAAGATAAAATACAAATAAGTAATTAAATCTTTAGCAGATGAAAAGGGGCTGGAGAGACAGTTCAGTAGTTAGGAACACTTACTGCTCTTCTAGAGGACTGAAGTCCAGTTCCCAGAGCAGTTCACAGCCATCTGTGACTCCAGTTCCAGGGGATCCAAACCCCCTCCGGCCTCCCTGGGAACCTGCACTCGTGCACACACCCATACAGACACACGAGCGCACACATGTATGCATAATGAAAAAAATTATGGCGAAATTAATAAATTGGTGGCTGCAGAGATGGTTCGGTAGTTGGGAGTTCCCACTTTTCCGGAGATCCTGAGTTCTGTTCCCAGCACCCACATCAGATGGCTCACAACTGCCTGAGACTCCAATGCTAGAAATGGGATGCCCTATTCTGGCCTCTGAGGGTACTGACCAACAGATGCGTGCATGCGCACGCGCGCGCACATACACACACACACACACACACACACACACACACACCTGCGCAGCCTGAGAGGTGGGGGTGGGGCTCAGCTGGGACTACAGAGTTCGTATCTCCCGCAGACCACAAACCCAGGAAAACCCAGCCCAGGCATCCCGTCCCTGCTGCATTGACAGGGTAGAGTTTAATTTTAAGGCAGGTGGAGAAAAGGCAATGGTGGCTCCTAGAAGTCTCCAGAATCCAGACCTGTCAAACCAGTTCCTTCTGAGAGTCCCTGGCTCCTGCTCCCTCCAATTGAAAGGTCGTTTCTTGCGCCCAAGTTGGAGCTGGCTGGCCTTCAGCAGGGAAGGGACAGCGGCACACAAACAACACCTAGGCTTGCTCCCCAAGGCCACAGACTAATGCTAACAAATGTTGTCTCTCACGAAACTGTGGGGCCTCTTTGGGACACTGTGTGTAAATCAACTCAGTTTGACCCCTGCATAACTTTGGAGTTTGGAATTTCCGAGGAAAACAAGGCTAATAATTGACTGAAGGTCACACAGCCTGTGGCCCCAGTGTGGGGACCCATCCCCAGCTGTTAATCGCTGCACAGCCTCCACTGAACACACACATTATCCTCTAAGCTTTAACCGCCTTAGGATGCCTGTGAGAGAAGATAGGGACCCAAAGCAGTGTCTTAGGAAGAGCCATCCACCCAACCCTGCTTCAAGGAACCCAGAAACTTGGACAAATGGGCTATTAGAAGTTCCACACGTACCCCAGATCCAAGTCTGTCCCCACCAGCGGGAGCCACCCAAGAAGATTCCAGATACCTATGGGACATCTTCCACAGGCATCAAATTCAACCAAATAGTGGGGGAGATAGATAAGAGACAGACAACTTCTTATTTCTATCCCTGTGCTAACGTCTGTGACGCAGGATAGAAAGACATGGAAAATAATGGAGGCATGAAAAAGGAAAAGAGCCCTCGCCCATAAGTCTGCTTGAAGCTTCTTCCTAGGTGAGAAGCAGAATTCTAGCACATTCAACACCTCTTAAGGTCTTTCTCCATCCCTAGTTCTAAACCTGCAATTTTCTAGGACTTTCACCCAAAACCTCATTTACAGTAAAACACATCCTAAGACCCTTGTGCAATCTTAGAGACTCTTGGTTTACCTTTATCAGAATATAACCTACCTCCAGAGCTACCCCGTTATTTTACCTAGCAAAGAGGGAGCAGGAAGAAGAGGTTCCTAGCAACCTTTCGAGATATAACTTGAAAGTCACAAAAATAGTCTGTATGGCTGATGCTAAGACTCTTATTGGCTCTCCCTTGAGAAGCCCATACCCACACTTGGATATATCTTAACCTTTCCTTGAGTGCTATTCTTTCTTTAAACCCCAGCGCTAAAAATTTATGTCAAGATATCTTTTAGTGGATAGTCATGGTGGCATGGCACACACCTTTAATCCCAGCATTCAGACAAAGACAGCAGGATCTCTGTGAGTTTGAGGTTAGCCTGGTCTACATAAGTTCCAGGACAGTCAGGGGTACACAGAGAGACCTTGTCTCAAAACAACAATAAATGCCTTTTAGAGGCTGGAGAGACGGCTCAGGCTCAGCAGTTAAGAGCATGTATTGCTCTTGCAAAGGACTCAAGTTCAATTCCCAGCACCCACATCAGGTAGCTCACAACTGCTAGCTCCAGGGGATCTAACACCCTCTATGGTCTCTGCAGGAACCTGCCCCTCGTATGCAGATACCCACTCCCTCCTCACACATAATTTAACATAAAATTTTTTTTTTGAAAAGTCAGAAGAAGGTTTCGGATCCATTGGAACTGGAGTTCCAGGTGGTTGCAAGCCACTACATGGGTGCTGGACCATCTCTCCAGCCCTTGAAAGTTCTTTTAATAAACCACGACTCCTCATTGTGAGGCCTCCTCTTGTGTGTTTCTCTTTTCCTGAGCACCTTGCTTTCTGCTTTTAACAAAGCTTCAACTGCTTCGCACTGCCTATTCGTGAACTTCCATTTTCCATGGAAGCCATTAGGAGCTTCCTCAGATCATTGAGGGCCAAAGTGTGAAGGTACACATCTGCCTCTCACTGCAGACATCTGGAAGGGCGGGCGCATGCCAGAGGGCTTCCAAAATCTCCAAATTACACCAGCCTGCTCCCACAGAGACAGATTCCAAGCCTAGCTTTCCAATTACCAGCCCTAGAGCCTATGATTCTCCTGCCTCGGTTTCCTCATCTGTAGAAGTGGACAGTACCACTACCATCTCAGGAGGCTGGTTTGAGTGAGGAATGAGGCCATCGGCAGGCAAGGATGTCTTGACCTCTGCTGGGAGCTTTGCAGATGTCGAGGCTGCTCCCCACAGCGACGTGGCCAGCTCAAAATCCGCTAATTAGGCTAGGTGTACTAGCTCATTTTTTTAATGTCAGCATTTGGAAGGTTGAGGCAGGAGGATTACCTCAAGTTTAAAGCCAGCCTGGGCTAAACAGTGAGACCTGTCTCCAAACAAAATAAAATAATCAAGTTCTTCCAAATCCTCTTGAAGTTTTACCTGAATCATGTGACCAGTACCTCATTTTCCCCATTAATGAACTGAGGGAGATTTAGGATTGGGATGGGTTTCTAGTGTGGTCAGGCACCTCCAGGTGACAGCTCTTAGCTATCCTATATTTTGGTTTATTATTAGACACAGGGTCTCACCCACCCAGGCTGGCTTCAAACTCAATATGTAGCCAAGGGTGGCTTTTTATCCTCACTTTGATAAGTGCTGAGATTATAATCTCAGGCCACCACACATCTGGTTCATGTGTCACAGGGAAGCAAACCCAGGGTTAGTGTATGTTAGGCAGGAGTTCTATTAACTTAGCTACATCCCTAACCCCGCCGTCCTCTTTAACTGAAGACACCTCTCTGTCCATTATTGACAGGGTACCCCAAACCTGCACTCATAAACACCAGGACTCACAGGGTGATTAGTCAGGGGAGCCCCCCCAACTTTACACAGCTCTCCGAAGTTGCGCTTTACAGTGAGCTGATCCAAGCACACAGCCTGGGCATGCTGGTCTCAACCTCTCCTGGAGCTCCCAACAACCTAAGAGCCACACCCCACCTACCTATCTCAAACTCATCTTCCAGTTCAATTGCAGCTACTCCAGGAAAGTATCCATACCCCCTGGCTTTGGTCACGGAGAGCTGATTCTGGACTCCAGAGAGCTGGGAGCCCGCAGGAGGCTGACCCCACCTCTGGGAGTAGCTGAGCTCAGACTTCCAGTCCCCTGCCCCCATCCCCGCGCTGACTGTGGGGAGGGTTTGTCAGGGCATTCCACAGGGAACTCCCAAGCTTATCCTGAAACAACAGAGGCCAATGAAGGCTGCTTACTTTCCAAACTGTTGAGTCGAACTGAGTTTTTACCTGGACTCAAGTTCGCCCTGACTCTCGCTGACTGCGCCCAACTAAGCTGAATCTGCTTGTCTCAGAGCAGACCTGTCTGCAGCCTGGCACTGGCCAGGCCCTTTCCCCACCCCAGCAAACAGAACAGGACGAAGGAATGCCACCCCTCCCCCCTGGTGGCCTCCGCAGTTTCCCAGCAGAGCCCCCAACGGCCAGCAACACTCTTGGGAGGCCTTTGCCAGATTTGGGAAAGCGAAAGAAGTCCGCGCAGGCTGCCCTGCCTCAGCGGGGACTTCCGAAGCTCGCGGCCTATAAAACTGGGAGCTGCACCCAGTGACAAGATGACCAGATAGACCCCAGCCGCGGGGCCCCACGTGCATCCTCAGCACCCGCCCCGGCCTCAGTATTCCCACGTGTGAAACGGGAATGATGCTACCATGATGCGCTCAGGTTTGGTGCGGGAGCCGACGGGCGCTGACCCCGGTGATCCAAAGGGGACCAAACCCGTGTCAGAAGGAAGCGGCGAGGGACAGAGTGGGAAGTGGAGGGACAGCCAAGGGAAGGTGGAGTGTGAAGAGGCTGGGGTCAGAGGCACAGGAGTCGCGACTCCCCCACCCAAGCAGTTCTCCCAGGGGTACTTACCCTACGACCACAGCGCTCTTCACTTGGTGCCTGCAACTCCAACCGCTTACCTGGCCAGGCTCCGGCAGGTTCCTCCCCGACTGGCCCCGCCCAACGTCAGAAAGCGCGCAACCGGGAGACCAGGTGGGCGGGACCAGGGCAGGTGGCGCTAGCTCGTAGCTGGAGAGAGCTGAGGGATACTGGCCCTCTGTCGCCTCCACACTCGCTGCCAGCCCGCAGATTTACCCTCATTCGTGATGCTCTGGATGAGACGGGAAACCGGAGATCTGTGCTGAGTTAGGAAACTGAGCCCGCATCCCGGATGGTCTGACCCGCAGTCCCAGGCCTGATGCAGGCTGCGGTTACAAGGCTCTCTAGGCTCTCTGCTCAGTTGCCTCTGCCGCTGTCTCTGCCCAAGGCCAGAGAAGCCGGGGCTGGAGTCTCAGAACCACTCCCACACTCCTGTGACTTGCCTCTAGGCACAAGAAGTCCTCGACGTCCTAAAGAGAGCAGACCAGTGGAGGAGGGAGGCACGAAAGGGGCTTTACCAGAGCGTCGCTTCCTCCACTTCCTGATGTCCTGCTGGGCCAGTGCGTCTTTCCACACACACCTCGCCTCTGGCATCCACTTACTATCCACCAACCTACAACTCTGATGACCTCCAGCTCTCACCCCAATCCCAAGCTCAGGCTCCTAGCTCTTGGCTGGATATCCAACCTCTAGAGCGACGCGCTCACCTCCCAAACTCCTCCCCATCCCATTCTCCCAATGGTGGGGTCCAAACTGTTGAGTCCTCACATCTTCTGTGTGGTCCACTTTCAAGCCCCGATGGCTTCTTCAACGTATGTCACAGTACCACCATTTCCCAGTGAGTCAAGTTACTGGTCTCCGGGCTCCTGACCTTGCACCCTGTCCATCCGTTCCCACACAGGGTCCTGGGGTGCCCTTTCTGAGGATCCTCACGCCAAACTTCACTTGAAGTTTCTCTTCTCCAATAGACCAGCTGCCCTGCATGGATGGGATGTGGTCTTGAGGAACCTTGATAGAGCAGATAAAACAGGGCGGTATTGGCACCACCCACCTCTAGAGGGTGTAAAGTCCTCAGGGGACAGTCAGTGGTTTAAGCGACTACCTCCTGTTTATAGAAGCCACTGGACCACAGGCCTTCATGGAGGGCAAACTTCTCCAGCGGATCTGTTGGAATTTGCTGGATGGTGGGAAAGAGAAAAAATATGGTCTGCTGTATCTACCATTGCACCCTAGTAGGGGAAGCTTGGCTCACTGCGGGTGTAGGGAGAGTCAAAACATCTCTGCCTTCCTTTGCTGAGCCTGTAACTGAAGCTCCTTTAACAGAAGACAGTTTAACAAGTGGGTAGCATGCATCGTGGAAGAGTTTAATTTTTTTACTTTTTTTTTTAAAAAAAGATTTATTTATTAATCATGTATACAGTGTTCTGCTTGCATGTATCCCTGCCTGCCAGAAGAGGGCACCAGATCTCATTACAGATGGTTGTGAGCCATCATATGGATGCTGGGAATTGAACTCAGAACCTCTTGAAGAACAGCCAGTGCTCTTAACCTCTGAGCCATCTCTCCAGCCTGAGTTTAAATTTTTTAATTTATTTTTATTTCACGTGTGTGGGTGTGACACATATCTGTATGCCACATGCATTAAGTGCCCATGGAGGTCAGAAGAGGGCATCAGATCCCCTGGAACTGGAGTTACCAGGATTGTGAGCTGCCATGTGGACAATGGGAACTGAATCTAGGTCTCTCTGCATGAGCAGCCAATGTTCTTAACCAATGAGCCTCTCAGTCCTATTTCATGTAAGTTTTGCAGGACATGGAAAAACCTCATAAAGAAAGGAAGACCCAGAGAAATAGGTGCATTGTGAATTTTCATACTTGGGTTTGAGGAAGGGTATTAGTCAGGGAGGAACAAGATTGGCGGGCAAAAGGTCATGACCTAATGGTAATAAACTGGAGGAAGTTAACCCCTCCACTGTGTACCCATGTCTCTGGGTGTAATGAGTATCTTGTGACATGGTCAAGGGAGAAAGGAAAGGGGAGGGTGTATGCCCTGTATCAGTTAGTCCCATGTCTTGTTGCTATGACAACATGCCCATGACAGAACCAGCTTAAGGCTCGAAGGGTTCATATTGGCTCACAGTTTAGGGGGACAGCAGGGTGGCAGTGGCAAGAGACATGCTAGTGCTCGTTCTCGTTCTTTTCTTTTATATTTAGTAAGTGTGTGTGTGCGTGTGTGCGTGCATGTGTGTGTGTGTGTGTGTGCATGTGTGTATAGAGGTACCCTCAGGGACCAAAAGAAGGTGATGGGTCCCTGGGAACTAGAGTTACAGCCAATGTAGGTCACCCAACCTTGGTCCTGGGAATGGGACTCAGGTCCTCTGCAAGAACAGGAAGCTCTCTTAAAGGCAGAGCCATCTCTCCTGTTCCTTGCTTCACTTTGGGACTCCAGCTCATGGGATTGTGACACCCACATTCAAGGTGGGTCCTCTCTCCTAAGTTTTTGGCATCACCCTCATAGTCATGTCCAGATGAGTCTCCTAGGTTGAACTTAATCCTTCTAACCAACTTTCCCAAGAGCCATGTTTGGGGGCATCATGTTCTGAACCCACATCACTAGCCGTCTGGTCACCAGGGTGGGATCTAGGCTTAGGATGAGGTAGACTTGGCAAGGACCTGGGTTTGTGGTAACACTGCACATTGCCTGGGTCAGGCCTGCCCCGAGGCCTTCTTACTTTAGCCTTATGCACTCATACCAACTCTTAGTGTTTGAGCTCAAGTTTTTCATTCCACAGGCATCAAAGCATCCTGATGGGAAAGAAGACTTTTTGTTTCCTCCTGGCAATATGAAGGATTGAACCTGGTATCTCGCACTTGCCAGAGAAGGTTTTCTGTCACTGCTCTGGCTTTTTATCCAAGTAGCCAAGCTGTCTCTTAGGCAAAGCTAGCAGCAGAGAAAAATTATCCCAGGAGGGGCCTCTAACCGGCTGAGTCGAAGAAACACTGTATTGGTGAGGGTTCTCTAGAGGAACAGAACTGATAGAATGTTTATATGCAAAAGGGATTTATTATTAGAACAGCTTACAGTCTATGGCCCAGTCTGTTCAACAATGGCAGTTACCAACTGAAGTTCCAAGAGTCCAGGAGTCGCTCAGTCCACCAGGCTGGTGTCTCAGATGGTCCTCAGTGCACACTGGAATCCCAAAGAAGCAGATTCTAAAGCCAGTGAAGGAATGGACTTGACAGCAAAAGCAAGCAGGCAAAGAGAGAAAGCTTCCTTCTGCCAGCAGAAGGCGAGGCCAAGATTGAAGGTGGAACTTCCCACATCAAAAGATTCAGATTAAAAGTGGGTCTTCCCACTTCAATGATTTAATTAAGAAAAAAAAACCCTCATGAGTGTGCCCGACCATTTGGGTTTTAGGGTTTTTCTTAATTCCAGATGTAGTCAAGTTGATAACCAAGAATAACAATCACACACACACACACATACACACACACCACACACACACACCACACACACACCACACCAAACACACACGCCACACCACACATACACATCACACTACACACACACACACACACACCACACACACACACACACACACACACACGGGGTCACAACAATGAAATTGTGGTAGGAGGAAGGGACGATAGTGACCTGTCTAAGCAGAGGCCAGGGTGAGGCCATTTGCTCACTGCTCCAGCACATAGTAGGACTGCCTCTGCACAGTAGGGTGGCGGAGCAGTGTTCTCCGCATTCCCTTAGTGCCCTCACAGCTGCTTCCTCCTGTGAAGACATTTCAGTCATCCTGGCACGTGGGCCCGTAAGCCAACACAGCACAGCCTGGATATGATTACCTAACATCTTCCTCCCCGCAGAGGACACGAGGTGACAGGCAGCAAAGAACCCGGGCTAAATTCTTTCTACTTCTTATTATATTTATTAGTATATTTGGGGGCGAAACGTTGGCACACATGTGCCAGGGCGTGTGTAGAGGTCAGAGGACAACCTTTGGGAGTTAATTCTCTACTTCTACCATGTGTGTTTGCATACACACATGCACACATGCACGCATGCACACACACACACACACAAATTAAAACCAACCATCTATAGTGACTGTATGGCCAGGAGCACAGATGTGCGTGTGCAACCAGTGACGCAAAAGAGCAGATTTCCCGAAAGGAACTGCACACCAAGCACCCTCCCTTTCTTTCTTCTGCGGTAATCGGGCAGTTGGGTTTTCCCTTCTGTTTCTACAACAATAACTTTGATTTCAAAGGCTCTGCAATAAAAAAAACGAAGGACAATAACGCGGAATGAAGAGTTACCACCAAATGGTGTTACTGCCGGTTTTATTCAATTTGATCTTACACGTTTATGAGGTTGGAAGTCCCTTCTTTCCCAAGCAGCAAATGCTAAGTTAATGAGCATGCTCGGGTGGAGCACAGGAGACAGGAGGAAAAAAAAAAACCGGGGCCACCAGCCTGGGTCCTAGATTTCCTGTTTGTACTCTCCCCAGTGGCTGGCCCAGCCAGCTGTGGGGAGCTGCAATCTTCTTACAGCCAGGAAACCTGTGTTTCCGTGCTGCTGACGCAAGGGGACAGGCAGGCAGAAAGGAATCTGGACGTCCTCCAGCCACTCCCTCTGCTGGCCAAGGCACTGGAACCCACCCGTTAGGGACCTGCTTTCTGTTGGTAGCCGAGCAAGCTCTGTTGGTAGCCAAGGGCAGCGATCGTACCATGCTCTGTTTCCCAGCAGAGACAAGTGCTGACGGCACAAGGATCAACCTTGGTGCATGCTCCATGGTGTTCTCCGGTACCCTGGGACCCAGGATGGAAACCCTTTACATCTTAGCAGCCTCTGCTCTGGATACCCTAACTCCAAAAACCAGCTACTACCTCCAGGGGAATGCGTGTTTACTCTAGAACCAAATATGAGTGACGCCAGTGTGGTATGGTTGCATGAAGTTCTTACAGCAACAGAACAAAGAAAGTCATAAATCAGCGCACTTTGCAAATACAATGGTGGGAGCATCAGGTAAGCAAATTCCACAAAGCTGGGCCATCTCTGCTAGGACCTCAGTCGCTGTCTGATGACCTTCTCTTAAGCTTTCGGGCTGAGGGGAGGATAAGGGTCCTGTTGTCAGCACAGCTCCAAAGATCTCACTCACGGACAGTCATAAGGACACAGAGGAGGACAATGAATAGCTGGCTATCAAGATAGCGTGAGATAACGTGGCTCTGAATCTGCAACATTCCAACCTCTCCAGGACAGGTGTTGTCTTCTCGGGATCTTCAGTTCATTCCTGTTGGACAGGGGTGTGGCCACTGGTATCCTAGGCTGCTACCCTGGCTCTTCAAAGGCCTCTGTTATCAAAGGAGTCTCACCTCGTAGGCCTCTGTCTTAGTTAAGCTTCTGTCGCTGTGATAAAGACCATGACCAAAAGCAACTTGGGGAGGCTTTGTTTCAGCATATATACCCTGACCACAGTCCATCAGGGAAACCAGGGCAGGGATTTGAGGCAGAAACTGAAGCAGAAGCCTTGGAGGAAACTGCTTACTGAATGGCTGGTTCCTCATGGCTTGCTCAGTTTGATTGATTGATTGATTTGGTGGTGATAGTGGTGAGTGTTCGAGACAGGGTTTCTCTGTGTAGCCCTGACTGCCCAGCTGTCCTAGAACTTGATCTGTTGACCGACCAGGCTGGCCTCAAACTCATAGATCTGCCTGCCTCTGCTCCTGGACCTCTGGAATGCTGCGATTAAAAATGTGCACCACCACTGCCAACACAATTCACTTTCCTATGGCTCCCAGGGTCACCTATCCAGAGATGGCACCAACCACAGTTGCCTAGGCCTCCGACACCAATCATCAATTAAGAAAATGTCCCATAGGGGGCTGGAGAGATGGCTCAGAGGTTAAGAGCACTGCCTGCTCTTCCAAAGGTCCTGAGTTCAATTCCCGGCAACCACATGGTGGCTCACAACCATCTGTAATGGGGTCTGATGCCCTCTTCTGGCCTGCAGGCATACAGCATACACACAGACAGAATATTGCATACATAATAAATAAATAAATATTAAAAAAAAAAGAAAATGTCCCATAGACTTACCTATAGTTTGACCTAAAGGGGCATTTCCCAACTGAGGTTCCCTCTCCGATGACACCAGCTTATGTCCAGTTGACATAAACTAACTAGACAGTCCCATTGATGGAAAGTGACCTAACAATTAGTTAACCCAGGCCCCTTTGCCACCAGGGCATGGACAGTGACAGGCTCCACCGTAACGAAGTACACTCTAAGGGAGGGGGCTGACTGGGAACACACTGTGTTACTAGGACCACTGCGTCCAGCCTGGGTGTGTGTGTGTGTGTAGCAGGCCCTTGTGCTCACAGATAAACACTAAGGGGACCAGAAATGTTAAACACACAGGGTTGTCTCTTCAAGGGGGGAGATGTACAACCTGTTTTCTGTCCAGAAGGCTGGGAGCAAACATGGTTAATAGCCTGGTGACCTTTGTGCTGTCTGTGTGGCCAAGCTTTCCTCCCCCAGACCCTTATCTTGAGCTGGTTTTCTCAATCTGCAGAACCTGTCTTTACAAAAGATGCCACTTTACAAAGAGTTTTGACGTAGTCATGTCTTAAACTTTGTTGTGCACTGATGTGGGAATGGTTTCTTATTAATAAAGAAACTGCCTTGGCCCATTTTATTGGATAGAAAATTAGGTAGGCGGAGTATACAGAAGAGAATTCTGGGAGAAAGAAGGTTAGAGGAGGAGTCGCCATGATTCTCCTGCTCCGGACAGACACAGGTTAAGATCCTCCCTGGTAAGCCAGCTCTCGGGCTACACAGAATATTAGAAATGGGTTAGAACAATATGTAAGAGCTAGCCAATAAGAAGCTGGAACTAGCCGGGCCAGGCAGTGTTTGAAAGAATACAGTTTCCGTGTAATTATTTCGGGCATAAGCTAGCCAAGCGGCCGGGGTGTTGGGGACGCAGCCCTGCCGCTTCTATTGCAACAGTGCACACTGAGTTCATCATTACTAGGAAACTTTTATCAAATTGTGTTGTACTGCCAGACAGTGGTGGCACACGCCTTTAATCCCAGCACTCGGGAGGCAAAAGCAGGCGATCTCTGTGAGTTTGAGGCCAACTTGGTCTACAGAGCTAGTTCCAGGACTGCCAGGGCTGTTGCACAGAGAAACCCAGTTTCAAAGAACAAACAAACAAACAAACAAACAATTTAACTCTGCTTAAATAAACTACTCAAGGTCAGACAGTCAAAGCTTGAACCAACACCAGTTACTGAAGCGTGTTGAACCCACTGCCTTCTTGCCTCTCTGCTGGTAGGGGTGTTAGCAGAGACCCTTGTAATGGGGTGGGGCCTTCTGGGTATGGCTACTGTGTCTACTGATTTTGGATCAGTACAACTGGAGTCTCCTGTGGAATAGGCTCCCCTGTGGAGTGTCATCTCCTGTGAGGTGGAGTCTCCTGTGGGGTGGAGTCTACTGTGGGTGGTGCCTCCTGTAGGGTGGGGTCTCCTGTGGGGTGGAGTCTCCTGGGGGTGGAGCCTCCTGTGGGGGTGGAGTCTACTGTGGGTGGAGCCTCCTGTGAGTGGAGTCTCCTATGGGTTGCTATACTAGTTAGTCACTGCTTTGCCCTTAGGGCTACTCTCCACTGTGGGTTGGTTTTAGACACTGTTTCTGGCAGCAGTGTGTGGCTCCTCACTCCTGACAACTTGGGAAGCTCCTACGACCAGGCAATCAGCATTGCCTCAGTAACGGGCTGCTGAAGTGGCTAACACACGAGACCCTTCCCTGATCCGCATCCTCACGTTGCCTTCATCTCCACCAAACACAAGGTGAGGAGAGTCCCAGAGAGTCTCCCGAGGAGAGATTGTCTCTGCAGTAATGTGTCTTTTAATAGCCTTTTACAGTTGGTTAGGGCTGGTTTGCCCTCTCTACAAACGTAAACACCAATGAGGAAAAGGGTCCTGGGGCAAAGTCAGTGCTTTAGTATTGAGCCCTTACCTCCTTCAGGTCACAGCCCACTGAGGACCCATCTGCTGCTGAACGCAGCCTTTTGTGCAGCGCTCCCAGTGGTGTGGCTTTATAACCCTCCAGCTTTATGACCCTGTATATGAGTCACGGGCACAGACAAGCAAAATCACCACAACACGATGTCGTTATCTGCAAAGATCCTTGCTTCAAATGGAGAAACTGAGGCTGTTTGGTCTGCCTGATAGATAGCTCATACCCGCCATCTCAGACTCATGCTAGTGGTACTGGCTGTCTCCAGAAGGGGTGTGAGGGATACATGAATAGAGTGTAGTATTCCCCCATCAGCCTTCTCTTCAGCTGGAGACCCCATAAGCCTCAGGACTCCTGGAAGGAGACATGTGTACTCAGGTCACACTGAGTGATACCGCTAAAATGACAGCATCCCATCTCCCATCCCCCAACTCCCAAGGCTTAGCATCTTCCCCTAGCTTCGTGCACACCTCATGCAGGCCGCACATCTGCAGCCTACCTGGAGTGCTGCTGGTCCCAAGAGCGAGGGAGAGACAGCCCATGTGGGTTTCCACCCAATGACTCGATGCTGCTCCAGGAGGCTCCCCAATCTAAGCCCTGAGAGCTCCCTGGGTAGAGTCAGTCCCATTACCCTGCTCTACATAAGGAGTCCACAAGACATGGATGCACTCAGAAAGCGAACACAGAGGTCACTGGGAGATGCTCTGTGGCTTTTTGAGGCTCATTGTCAAGAAATGTGTCTGAGATCCTGTGTAGGCTTCTCTACCCAGGACCCCAATTCCTTTCTATGCCCTTAAGACATGACCAATTGACCAGTGGGCCCTCTTGGAGCCCAGAGACCAAGTTCTCCTGCTGGAATGGGTGTCCCTTCTTAGTCTTTAGCACCCAGACTTGCAAGAGTCACATTCCATATCCCATAGGAGACTAAGAATTTTTGAGTCTATCTCTCTCCTTTACTGTCTTCAAGGCCAATCCCAAGTTTTAGTATTGCATGAGCTCCCTTTCTTTATGAACATGGGAGTGGAGACGTGTGTGAGGGCTGTGTGTGTGAAGGGTCCCAGTGTCCTTGTAGAGACAGGGACAGCGAGGCTTCCAGCAGAGTGGGTGGGAAGAGCCCCGAGCTTTAGGAAGCAGGTGCTAATGCCCCAGGTAGATCCCTGAAAGAAGCTTCAAAGGTTTTGAGAGTAATGGAGGGAGAGGAAGGGACCCAGTCCCACTCCCACCCTTCCACCCCTCCCCGTGCACGGGCGCAGGGAAACCTGGGAGTTCCAGTTGAGGCATTAGCCAGGTGGACAGACTGTTCAATCCTGTGCTTTGTGAGCACGTTGGTGAAGGAGCTGGGGGGAAAGCCAGCGCACATCTCTGTGAATGGAATGACCTTCACCACGAAGACACCAGAGCGGCTTTTATCCCAAGGGCACCGAAGGAACGTTGCAGAACGGGGGGGGGGGGGGGGGACAAAGCAGCACTGTGCCCTAATCCCTCTGTGTGTGCCATCTGTGCCAGGCTGCTGAGGGCTGAGTGCAGGAGTCACAGGTGACTGGACTTGGGACAGGGTGGGGACAGAGGAAGCAGCTGAAGCCAGGTAACAAGGCCCTCTGACCTGATAGATCCTAGGTCCTGTGGGTGTGAGGGAGGGGCCAGGCGGGAAGCAGGATTCTCATATTAACAGTAAGGAGCTCCCAAGTGAGACCATAAAGGCCCTCAATTTCCCATCAGCCTCCTTGAGACTCATGACCTGGCTTGCCTTTACCTCCAAACAGCAAGCAGATAAAGGCGATAAAACCCGGGTGTCTGATAACTTGATGGAAAAGTGGTGGGTCTTTTAAAGACAGAGGTCCAGTGGGGGATGGTGGCACACACCTTTTTAATCTTAGCACTTAAGTGGCAGATGCAAGGGATCTCTGAGTTAGAAGCCAGCCTGGTATACATAGTGAGTTCCAGGCCAGCCAGGGCTACATAGTGAGACCTTGTCTCAAAACAGCAAAACATAAAAGATAGGGTTCCATGTAGCTCAAGCTGGCTCCAGACTCACTGTGTAGCTAAGGATAACTTGTCACCATGCAATCGAACCCAGAGCCTTGTGCCTATTAAGCCAGCACTCTGCCCACTGACCCATACCTTCAGCCTGAAGCAGTGGTGTCGGTGTCTTTGCATGAGCAAACCCCAGTGATGGGAACAGAGACGAGGGCTTGGCTTGCAAAGGGTGAAACCTACCCTGATTGAGTTCCCAGGGCTCACTGACATCTCATCTGCCCCATCTAAGATCTGCTGGAGCTCCTGAAGAACCAAAGTTACAGGATCTCCATAACACAGGGCAACAACAGGACGTTTGAGAGGAGTCCCCATGAGGATCCGGTATCGATAGTGTAGCAGAAGACAGAGGCCTCGAACCCGTCCAATGACTCAACACAATGGACATTTGCAAACAAAACCATTCGGGCAAAAGAGCTGCAAGATTTTCATTTTTACTTTTTATTTATTTATTTTTGTTTTCTTTTGTGGGGGTTGCAAGGGTGGAGGGTGGATATGGAAGGATGGGGAGAGGAGTGGGATTGGGGGACATGATATGAAAATCACAAAAAATCAGTAAAAAGGTTTTTAAAAAAGAAAGATGGACACACATTCCAACAGGCCAAGCTTCTAAAGGCCAAGACAGCATCCTCTCCATAGAGAGGTGCAGTGCTGTTTATTGTCCCAGAAGCCTTCGGGAGTTAGCACAGAACAAGGTAAGAGCCTTGGATGGGAGTGGAAGCCTCACCGAGCAGTGTCAGTTACCAGGAGTCACTCACTCCAGTTGAAACATGCTTTCAACGTCATCTTATTATTGTTTTGGGACATTATTTTATCATGTAACTCTAGCTGACTTAGAACTGGCTATATAGACCAGGCTGGCCTTGAACTCACAGAGATCCATCTACCTTGGCCTCCAAGTACTGGTATTAAGGGCAAAATGCCATCATAGCCCACTCGACATTAAAAAAAAAAATAAAAATCTCCAAGAGCTGTTTGCTGTGTGTTCCCTACCCCCACATCTCCCCTCAGGAGAGTGAATTGAGGGTCAGAGTGGACGGTCAACAGGCAGGGCCTGGTGTCCCACCCTGTGACAGTCAGCAGTGCACAGCCCTTCTTCACGCTTTCCCTGTGTGTTGATCAAGTAGTAGGGCTTGTCATTTGTGACAAACATCTGTTTCCCAGCCCATGGTGGGCAGAAACACACATGCAGGTATGCAGAGGGAGGTGGGCCCAGGGAACCAATGGAACCCACCTAGGACATCGAGAGACCTCCACCGGGAAGTCCCTGGAGCCCCGTGCTGATCCAGCAGTAGCTAACTAGCAGTAGGACACGGGGCTGGCCTTAGGACAGATCTGGGAGCTCGGAAAAAGAGCAATGGAGCTGCCTGGAGTGGGGAGCTACAAACCATGAAACTATGAATTTTCAGCCAGGGACTTGGGCCCCCTGGCTCAGAGGTCTCCCAGGGAGTGGGGGGGGCATCCTAGCCATAAATTCGTGTACGGTGCATCCTTGTGTGCCAATCTTTGCACACAAAGATTGGTCTGTGGTCAACTTGATTACATCTGGAGTTAACTAAAACGCATGAAGTTGGACACACCCGTGAGGGATTTTTTTTTCTTAATTAAATCATTTGAAGTGGGAAGACTCACTTTTAGTATGGATCTTTGAGGTGGGAAGATCCACCACCTTCAATCTGGGCTACACTGACTGGTAGCAGCCTATATAACGATATGGAAGAAGGTTCGCTCGCTTTGGGCTGCTTGCTTTCACTCCTGCTGGCAAGCCCATCCCTTCACTGACATTAGAGCCTACTTTTTATATATAGCCTGTTGGTTCTGTCCTCTAGAGAATCCTAATACACCTGATTATCATTGCTCCGCTTACAGTAGAATCCCCCCGTTCCTGCCCCACCCCCCCCACACAGTGGAAGCCCTCTGCCCATAATCCCACTTTCACCCTTCAAAGGATTCAACTTTGCTGGTGTTGAGGGAGACAGGGTGGCACAGCCTAGCCAGGTCACGGGCCTATCTCACTTCCCTGAGTGCCTGAAGCAATGCAGACAGCTTCTAGCCAGGGCACCGAGCATTCTCTCCAGATTCTTTGAGGTGGGAAGCAGCCCACTGTGGGAGGGGGCCACCCCTAGGCTGGTGGTCCTGGGTTCTATAAGCAAAGAGGAAATGGTCGCCCATGCCTCTAATCCTAGCCTAGCACCCAGGAGTTAGAGGCAGGTGGATCTCTGTGAGTTGGAGGCCAGCCTGGTCTACATAGTTCTGAGATAGCCAGGCCTATATACAGAGACTTGTCTCAAAATGAAACAGCAACAAAAAAAAAAGAAAAAGAAAAAGAAAGAAGAAAGGAAGGAAGGAAGGAAGGAAGGAAGGAAGGAAGGAAGAAAGAAAGAAAGAAAGAAAGAAAGAAAGAAAGAAAGAAAGAAAAGAGGCTGAACAAATCACAAAAGGCAAGCAGAAATCCTCCATGGCCTCCACATCGGCCCTTGACTCCAAGTTCGTGCCTTGGCTTCCTGCAATGAACTGTGAGTCTGGGTTGTAAACCAAACCCTCTCCTCTCCAAGCTGCTTCTGCGCCTGTCTCTTCACAGCGACAGTGACACTGAGACAGCCTTGGAGTCCATTGTGTGCCCTCGCCACGGGCAGCACGGAAACTCAAGCAGGCCACCCCTCGCTGGAACAGGCTGTTTCTCCCACCCTGGGGGGCGGGGGAGCCTTCATCCTAACATCTCCAGCAGATCCCCTGGATCCACAAGGCCTTGCAGCCCAAGAATGAAATAGCTGCTTCCTATCCTGTGTCCTGGCCAGATCTGGTCACCCTGCCCCTGGGGCTGCTATTTGCTGGTCACTCCCAGCAGACCATCAAGGCCTGAGTGTCTGGGGCAGGGGTCAGCATGTGATCAAAGAGGACCATATTCCTGCTGGCTCTCTAAAGAGCATCTCAACACGACAGAGGCCTACTCCAGGGATGGCATGTCGGGGTAAGCTACTGGGCCGGTACAAGCCTGTAGCCACCCTGCCAGCACTCAAGAACACTTACGTCCATTTACCAGGTGGTAGAACCAGCTCACTGAGGACCAGGGAGGTCCTAACCACCCTCAGACTCTGAGCAAACCACTCCTAGGGCAGCTGGGAAGGCTGGGCTGCCCTACCACCAGGGTCTTCAGCAACCCCCTCCGAACAAAGGGCAAGCAACCCCCTTCCCTCCCTGGCTGCAGTGGGTCCCTCCCAGCCCATGTCTGGGGCTGGAACCAGGGACCGCAGTAGGGCCTGTCTTATACCATCCACTAAGGTGTCAGGCCTTCTTTATATGCTTTCTAGGTCCTTCCATCAAGAAGACATAGCGACATTGGACCTGAAAGCAAGTGGAGGAGTGGACAATGGGCAAGTGGCCATGCCCTCAACTTGGGAATGTGCCCTGGCAGGAGGGAGCGGTGAATGAGGTGGCGGTCCCAGAAGGACACCAGGGGGAAGACAGGAGCCTGGAGTTGTAACTTTATTTCAAGCCTTCCTGTGGCTACCCAGGGCAGAGGGAGGCAGGTCTGGCTGTGGCTGGAGTCCCGTCACTGTGGGGGCCAAGCTGGGCTGGCATAGGCAGAACCCACTGGTTTCACATTTTTCTGGGTAGGTGTGGGCACCAAGGGTGGGGCAGGCAGAAGGGCACATGGTGGCCCCATCCTTGAGGTGGTTCAGTGTGCATCTGGGCGGTGCCAACTGGACATCCTAATCAGACCTGGGGTGAGCAGGGGAGGTGGGTAGATTTTCCAACAGACTGGGAGCATACAGTGACCAAGGCAGTGACAAGGGGGCTGGTGAAATTAGGAAAGAGTAACAAACAAGTCTCTCTCTCAGACACACACCCACAGACGCGCACACAGGCAGGGTTCAGTAAAAACATGAACTAACCTCAGGCCATCACACAACACTCGGCCGGCTTCCGGTTGCACCAAAGTCAGACACACTGGAGCGACTACCCCGCCCAAAGTCAATGAATATTCCTTCAGAGTCTGAGTCCACGGACTCCAGGATCTGGTCCACCAGTGTCTCAGGGCTGGAGGTGGGTGGGGAGCCGTGGGCCAGGTCCTGCTCGGGGGAACGAGCAGGGGGGTACAGTCTGCTGGGGCAAGGCCCCGAGTGGGGCGTTGGAGAGGACCTGTAGGTCCCCGAAGGGCCCTGGCCAGGTGTGTCCACAAAGCCCTGGGGCTCAGGACAAGATGTCATCTCAGAGACGGAGTGCCTGCGGATACTTGTACCACCAGCCGCTGTGCCTTCCGCTTCGTGCTCAGCCACGGGATTGAGCAGGGGCGTGTTGTAGCTTTTGGAGCGCACCACCGGGTTCTTGGCGAGGACGTCCCCAGAGCGGGAGCGGCGCAGGAGCCGTTTCTCTGCAGGAACAGACACAGTCACATACCAGGATGGCGGCTGCTGACCCACATGGTCCCTACATGTCCCAAGTCCCACTTGGGTAGAAGCTTCGGGTCAAGTGTCTAACCCAGTAAAGGCTCAGTGGCTGCTAGTTCTGGATCGGCCTCACCAGCCCAGGATACAAGCCTCCTGCCAAGGCTGGAGAGAACTTTAACATTCCCAGCCTTGACCTGAACAGGCAGTGGGACCTCAGCTGCCCCAGTTCAAATCTGCAAGCTTCCAGTGACCTGTGAATGACCCCACGTCAGTCATAGTCATGTCTCATTGTCCTCACCCATGGAAGCCCACGGATCTTAGGTACCAGTGCTTTCCTAGGTTAGACTGGGCTCCTATTCTCACAGGCTGGCACCCAGGGGACAAACCTATATGGAGGAGCTGCAGGGTGGGCAGTGCTATGAAGCAGTTTTTTACAGGCCTCCCTGGCTGTGGAGACACAGACTTGACCATGTAGGAGAAAGGCTTCCATGCAGGACCCTGCAATGCCCCATAGTGACCATGAGGTGGCACTCCTGAGTACAGCAAGCTGTCAGGGAGCCTCTCTGGATCAGGAGGGGTTGCCTTCTTGACCACCAGGTATCCTGCTGGTCCTTGAAGGTGGAAAGCTCTCCCGCTCTAACTTGCCTGAGCTGAGACACTCCCAAGTATTAAGACTTTACACCCTAGGTAGCAGCCCGGATGAAGGGGAGCCTTCCAAGTGAACCCATGTGGTCTGTTCCTATGATCTAGTTTGCATCTCTTCCTGCAGGCCAGTGGTCATCACAGGGACTCACTGACACATTTCCCTGCTAGACCAGAACTGTGGAGGAGGGTGTGGCTTGGTCTCTGGGCTGATACACAGCAGGTGCCCAAATGACATTGGTGAATGAACAAGGGATGGCAAAGCTGGCTTCTGAGGGATGCACCAGGCTCTTTAGGGCCTGCCGTCACCTCATCCCTCCCTGAGCTAGTACAGATGTGACATCTAGGAAATGCAGGTGGCTCTCTGCATGGTAGGTCTTTGTGGGAGAGCCACACTGTTCTGGGGACTGCCTGCTACCCCCCAACACCCCCTCTCCACTGGAGGTCAAGGTCTGCACACGGCAGGGCCAGGCAGGTTCATGGGACAGATTGGCTGATAACTGTAGCTGGGCCCCTGCGGGTTCCTGGTTTTGCCTACACCATTGCCCCAGGCGGTACCCACCGAGGATGCAGGAATGGGTGCAGGGCCCCTCGCTGGAGTAGAGGCCATAGGTGCCCAGGTACGGTGACACCACCTTCTGGATCAGTGTCTCCAGACGCAGGTAGTCTTCGGTCACACCCCGGGACTCATGTACCCCCTGCAAGAGAACGGAGGTCATCCCCTGGCCCAGAAGCAGCTTGTCTCTGCCCCATTTTCCCCAGGAGGACCCCAGAGAGGCAGATGCTGCTGCAGTCTCCTCCATGGCTGGGTGCCCTATAGTCGCATAAGGTGATTTACACCAAAGTCACGGGCATTGGTGTCCTGGGTGGTCCTCTGAGAGACAGCTGGCCATAGCCAGGCGCATCAAGTTCACCACCGGAGGTCCTACTCTCACTGCTCACGCCCGGGGGCTGGGGAAGGGCAGACACAGGCAGGCGAGGATGCTCATAGGGTTAGACAGGACCCCAGCCCATGGATCTTTTTGAGATAAGATCTCATGATGTGTCCTAGGCTGCCTTGATTATGAGATCCTCTTGCTTCTGCTCCTGAGGGTTGGGACTGCAGGTGTGTGCCCCTATGCCCTGCCCACACACTTCTGAAATTTTATGAAGTCACATCTCCCCCGCCTATGGTACAAATCTGACCCACACCTGGTTGCTAGTGTGACTGGCACCCCACCACTAGGACTCCCCGCAGAAGCTGTGATCCTGGGTTGTGAGGCAGGGGAGACAGAGTAGGCCCTCAATACACACTGACCAGCAACTGTGACCTCCAAACAACTCAAGACTTGAAACAGTGAGGGCCAGATTCACCTGGGAACCGACGTGAGGTCAGCAGACAAGTTCACAGCAACCTTAGGGTAAGGTCACTCAGTCTGGGGAGAGGTGGCAGGTGGGACAATGGAAGCCTCTGTGGCAGAGAGGCTATGCTGGGATGCAGACCATAGCGGGAAAGCTGCAGGAGGCACAGTAGCCAGCAGGTGGCAGCACCGCCCTGAGCATTGGTTGCCTCCTTGGCCACAACACCAGAGAGACCTGAACTTCCTTCCATTTCTCAGTCACCCTGCCTGGCTGGATCCAGTCTATGAAAATCCCACCCAAAGGCTTGCACTTGGCTTCATTCCAAGGTGACCACAGCCTCCAACCCAGGGCAGGCCCTGGACCCTGCAGACCCTGAAAACAGCAGCCTGTTCCTTGCTCTAGGCCCCACCCCACAAACCCTAACTTTAAAAGGATTTCCACACATATGGGGGACTCATTACAAGGCTTTTGATGCCTGTGAGCATCCAAGTGAGGCCGCATACCTGCGAACAGTAAAATGTTTCCCTGTCAGTAAAACAGGGCAGTTGGTCCCTCTAAAGTCCTGTAAGGACTGCACGTTGTGAGAACTCAGTAAGGTGAGCTGGCCAACTGTAAGGGGATATATCAGATGTCTCTTCTCTGTCCTGGGGCACGTCCCTTTACTCCAGCTGAACTAGCTGCCCACTGTCCCTCCTCCAGAGCCAGTCTTGTTGATGAAGTTCATCTGTACCAAGTATCTGAAACCAGTGTGGGTGTGTGTCTATCTGTCCAGCCCTGGAAACCAGTGTGCATGTTTGTGTGTGTGTCTGTGTGTCTGTCTGTCTATCTGTATGTCCAGCTCCGGAAACCAGTGTGTGTGTTAGTATGTGTGTGTTAGTGTGTGTGTGCGCACATACACAGGCGCAAACGCCCTTGTCCAGCCCCGGGGACTGAACACACAAAAGCCAGCTGCTGTCATGAGTAAGTAGTTCTGGTCTGGTTCACACCCTGGCCCGAAGGCCTTACTTGCCCACTTCCTACCCAGTTGGTCTCTATCATCTCCCAGTCTTGGGGTCCTGGGTCCCCAAACCCTCGTCCCACCTGCAGTACCAGCAGCATCTGTGCGATGGCAGGGGGGACGCGTGCGTGGGAGCGGGCCAGTGCGTCCTCCAGCTTCACACTGAGGGTGATGGTGTTCCGGAAATGCAGCAGGGCAAGCTGGCGCACCGACGGCTCCTTGCCCTGTGGACACAGGCAGAGGCACGGTAGCCCCGTTTTTAGCATGCAGTTTTATCCTCTTTCCCAGGCCAGGGGTGGGATGAGGGAACAGACCCTAGAGACACAAAGCCCTTCCCCCATTCTATTTCCCACACGAACCCTGCCACAAAGATGTAAGATGCAGGGCCCAGCTCCGCCACTAGGCTTCCCCTCTCCAGGCCAGGAGTCCTTCTTCTTGGAGCTATTTCAGGTACCCGCAGTGTGTATGGACAACTGAGACGCCCCTAACGCCCATGCACTCAGCCATATACCTGCACAGGGTAGAAGATGGCCTGCAGCGTGGGCAGCACGTCACTGAAGAAGAAATCCCAGGTCTCCGCCAGCGAGTCTAGCAGCTTCTGTCCTGTGGGCGAGAGGAGCCATTACAGCTTGTCCTGAACACACCGCGGACCCATCCAGGACAAGAAGCTAAGTAGGAGTGGGAGGACCCTGAGGCCCCCAGCATAGGGCAGCTCTGTCGCCCTGAGCCCCTGTGAAATAGGTACAGGACAACGCTTACAATCTAGAGCAGATGGGACACAATGAGACTAACCCATGAAGGTGCTCAGCCTGGGTGACGGTGAAGGTTGGCACTCATTCCTGTCCTGAGTATGCCTGCACATACTCAGGCATTGGCACAAACCCTTCATCAGTTTCCCTCTTCCCCACCCATCCACTTGGAGAACCCCTAACTGGTACAGGCCCAATCTTGGGCACTGGGGACAGTCAAGCCCCGAGTGGCTCTGGATACCCCCTACTATGTGGCAGAGAAGCAGGATACAGAACAACCATGGGGAGACAGTGGGTAAAGGGTAGCTCCAGGGCCAGTGACCCGGGGTGCAGTCTTTGGCTCCCCCTCGAGGGCCCAGGCCTACTTGTAGGACATGGAGCCAAGGACTGGCAGGGAGGGTTCCTTGGAGTTGTCTGGCGTCTGAGCTGGCTTCTCAGATGGATATATGTTGGGCATGTGACATCTTCCCCCTACCCCACCCTTTTCCCACCTCTACCAAGAGAAAGGAGCAGCTGTGTGGGGAACTGGGTAGGTTGCAGGGACTCAGCTGGCCTCTGGCAGAGTGGTACTGCCTGCCATTGGGGAATGGGGCACCTAACTGTGGTCACCAGGGTAGACGGCTGAGACAAATGGTCTCTGGGACTAGGAATGAACAGGTCCAGCATGTGTCCCATAGGCCTCTGGTGCCATGTGGGTCTGAGTGGGGGGTGGGGAGGGTCCTTGACTACTAACCACCCTGCCTGTCTCCAGGTTTCTATGAAGGAAGCCTGTCAAAGTCTTTGCCCAGCTTTCCAGTACTTGTGGAACTTTCCCTCATGGAAAGCCCCAAGTTCATACAGAGTGAGGACATGGGGGGCACAGAGAGCTGGCCTCAGGAGCAGGCTGGCCTCTGTGTGTGGCCGCCCAGGGCTGCCTGCCGGAGGTCCCGGGTGGCCCACACCTGGCTCCAGGGGCTAGGAGGCTGCAGGAATGCCCGGGGCAGGCGGATGCTCACAGCCCCTCAGAGCCCTGCCTGAACACAAAGTCCCTTCAGTTCCTGCCATCATACAAGAAGAAAGACTGTTCAGTCCTGGCTGGCTGTGGGGTGGCCCTGGGCGCCGGCCAGGGCAGTGTGCCACCAAGTGAAGGTCGTCCTCCAGCCCACAGGGCGGACACCCCACAGAAAGCAGATGTTGTAAGACACAGAATCCAGGCCCCAGCTGGAGCCATGTGCTGTCAGGGACCCGGAAGGATAGCCTGATCCCTGGCTAGGCTCTTGCCTGGGACTGCGGACTGGGCTGTGTGCTGAGGAGTGGGGTCAGCAGAGGCTAAAGTCAGACACAAAGGCTGATGCCTTGCTCTGTGGCTGTAGAGGAGCCCTGGAAAGTTCTTCCAACCAGACCTAGCGGCACCCTCTATGTAAGGAACAGGGTAAGTCCCTAGGGATTGACGACAAGGTACCCTGTGTTTACTGCTGGCATGACACAGCCAGCCAATGTGTGTACCCTGCCTAGGCCCCAGTCAGAGGTGGAGCAGAGAGCTTTGGGGAAAGGCCAGGTTGAGGATCCATAAAGGCTTTCACTGGGCAGTCAGTCTCCCCTTTATGTGGCCACAGGGTGGTAAGAACAGGAGAGAGGTAGGCGGGTACAGCTCCAATTCACAGGCTCCAGGGATGGCAATGACCACAGAGAAATAATGGAGGTGAGGGCTAACGTTGTACAGCAGGGGCAGGGGCACAAGCAGGCAGGCAGCCAGGGAGAGAGGAGAGGCTGCTGGGTGCACAGACACATCAGCTACGCTGAGGTTGGCTTCTGGGTGAGAAGACACAGACCCCGGCCTCAGCAGCCCCGGACCTCTGTGGCCTCTTGGGTGTTGAGCTGGGAACCTTCTGTGAGGTGTCAAGCTATTCCCCTGCAGAGAGCACTCCTGTTCCAACTGGCTTCCTGGAACCACCCCTGGAACCACCTAAACTAGATGACGACGAAGGCCTCACAGGAGGCTGCAGAGAAGGGGGCAGGTGCCAGGCTTTGGACTGCCCTCTGGAGGCTACCACCTCCAATGTGCCCCCTCCAGCAGCTACAGGCTTGAGGGCACAGCTGGCTTCAGGGAACAGGGGATGGATTTCCTGAGGTGGAGAGGGGCTGGGATGGCTGACCCACAGGGTAGCAGTGCGGCTGTAAGGGACAGATAAACTGCTCAGCCGACCACACTTGGAGGCCATATTCAGCGGCAGCTCCACAGCTCCACACAGCTCTCCCTGTTGCGAGGATGGAGTCACGCTTCCTGCTCCGGAGTTTCCCTTCACCTGACATTCACCACACTGGCCTGTCAGCATCTGGTTTATGTCTCAGTCCTCATAAGTCCCTGCAGGGCAGGGCCTGTATCTTTTCTATCTCCAGGTTGAGGGAGAATTCCCCGGAGTCCTGGCCTGAACGTGGTTGGTTCTTTGCTACAGTAGTTAAGAAAGGGGCCCTGAGGGCAGGGCGGCCACAATATGTTACACCCAAGATGTATTCACAGACTGCGGCTTTCCCTGGGCCGAGGTGGACAGTGCTCGTCAGGGCAGCCTTTCCCCTTTCCCTGGGAGGCCCTAAGTCACAAGCATGAGGCTCCACGGGCCTCACAAAGCTGCCCTTCTCCCAGGACCTGGCTCCCCTGGGCTGCGTTGGTGGGAGGCACAGGCACCTCAAGGAATGTGCTGAGTCAGGCGGGTCAGGAGGGTGTGGGAGGCCTCTTCCTCAGGTGCCAAACATTCACCCTCTTAGGGCTTGGCTGTTGCCTCCTCCAGGAAGCCCCCTGCCCTGGGCCTCCTGCCCACACCCAGTTTTCAGGCTTTCTCATTCTTGCCTCGGCCTGCCTTAGCTGATACATAGAGGAAGATGTTGGGGAACGGGGGTCCCTTGGAATGAGGCAGGACTCTGAAGGGGACTGACAGCCATTTGCACAGGGCCCAGCCTGGCACTTGGAAGAGGAACCCGGAGCAGTGAGCGGCTTGAGTGGGCTGCAGGGTTATCCTGCTCTGCTCCTGGGCTGCCACGCATCGAGGGCGACCCCAGCGGGACTGAGTGCTTGTGAGGCACTCAACTAATGTTCACCACAGTCAGCGAGCAGTTAATCACTTTCTTTCTTTCTGTATATGCCAAGTCCCCTGGACACTAGCCTCACCATAGTACCAAGCCCCTCTCAGGACCCCAAGACTATCAGACGCCAGGGGCCTCAAGTGCTGTGACCAGGAAGTCAATCAAAGTCCTCTGCTTCACGATGTGGGCCGAGCCGTGAAGCCCGAGAAAGGACTAGCAGTGCCTGGTATCACACCACGGTTCGAATTCTGCCTCGGCTTTCCCTGTATTGTGGCTATGAACAAATTGCCTTCTGTCTCTGATGTCCCCGTGTGGGAACAATGACCTGCCATAATCTAGTTCTCTGGTCTTTGGATATTTAGATGGGGTTCCTGTTAGGGTCTGGCTATAAGGTGGCCCCTGAAATAGCTTGTGTGTTGATGGTGTGGTCCACAGCCAGCAGCGCTGTGGAGGTGACTGGATCGTGAGGACACTGGCTCCATCACAGGATGGATCAGAGCTGAATGTGCTTTAGGAGGCGGGGCTTGGTGGGAGGAAGTGGGTTGAAGGTGTGATGGTTAATATCGTCAACGTGACAGGATTCTGAACAGGAGATCTATCCGCCCTGGGTGCGAGGGAGTCTCCAGACTGGGTTAACTGAGGTGAGAAGACCTGCCCTGGATGTAGATGCTGGGGTCCTGGGCCGAGCAACACGGAGAACATGAGCTGAGCATCATCATTCATCTCTCTGCTTCCTGGCTGTGGGTGCCATGTGACCTGTCTCCTGTTTCTGCCACCACGCTTTCCCCACCATGATGGGCTGCAGGCTCTGACTGTGAGCGAAAAGTCCCCTTCCATAAGCTGCTTTTGCCATGGCAACAAGAAACATAACATGCACTGTCAGAGTGCCTATGAAAGCTACACGTTGCCTCTGGTCTCTTCCTGGCCAGAAGTTGTTCCTGGACAATAGCTTTGCTGAGCCACATGCCCTCTCCATCAGGACATTGGCTTCATCCCAGGCTCAGCGTGATGAGGCCTCATGTCTCTGGACCTCTGTGAGACAAAATCAGCCCTGTCCCTTTGTGATGGTTAGCTTTGTCAACTTGATACAACCTACAATCTCACAGCAAGAGACGCAATCATAAATTATCTAGATCAGGCTGGCTTCTGGGTATGACTGTGGGGCATTGCCCGGATTACTAACTGATATGAGAAGACCCAGCCTGCTGTGGGTGGCACCAATCCCTAGGCAGTGGGTCCTAAACTGCGTAAGAGAGCTGAGCATGGCAGACAGCAGCACAAATGTGTTCATCTCTCTCTGATCTTGACCGTGACTGTGTGATGTCCCTGCTATGAGGGCCTAGTCCCCGGAGTTATAAGCTGAATAAACCCTTTCTCCCCTAAGTTGCTTTTTTGCAGGGTGTTTGACCACAGCGACAGAAAGGAAACTAGGACAGGACACCCTTCTAAAGCGCTGGCTTTGTCACGGTGACGAAAAGCTGAGGGGCACAGTGAGACGAAGCAGAGGGCCTCTCCCTGGGGTTGTCCAGTCTTCCTGGGCTCCCAAGTGTGGGGGACAGACTCTCCAAGGTCCCCTCTTAGTCCTGTTGCTCAAGAAACCACCTTTCTTTTCTTTCCTTTTCAGCCATCTTAACCAGCGAGCCACCCCTCCCTCCCAGCACCTGCCACACCACCGTTCCAGAATGTCAACCACAAGGGCCTCAGCCAGGCTGATTACCCTCAGCCCTCAGACTCACCCTCGTAGAAGCGTATCTTGTCACGAAGGATCACCATGCCCTTTGTGAGCAGCTGGTTCTGAAAGTGAGCAGAGGCGCCATCACTGGCCTGCAGCTATTCCAGGGTGGTCTGGCCCACAGGACCCCCATGACTCCACCAATAAGCAGTTGAGACATGAGACCCCTTCCTGCCACAGTCAAAACCCCATCCACCCTGAGAGGCAAGCTGCTCGGGCTGTCACAGGTCATATGACATAAAGACATCCTTTGAGAGCCAGACCAAACCTTCCTCCGTGGCAAGGCCCACACACCTGCAGGTACTCAGTGAAGAAGGACCCCAGCTCCGTCTTCAACAGCTGCCTGTGGGGGAGGGGAGATGAGAATGAGTTGAGGCCATGCATTGCTAGTAAGGGCTGGCAACATCCGGGCAGCCAGGGACCAACCTGCTCAGCACAGCAACACAAGCGGCCCAAGAGAACATTTGCCCTCTGTGACCCACAGAATGGCTGGCTCACTATGTATCTTACGGAAGGGAAGCCTGAGGGTCCTAGAGGGACCATGACGTCTTCTACTTCCTCAAACAAACACCTACAGGCCTGACCCTGCAACACTAGGCTCCATCCACTTTCTACCTGCTCGAATCCCACAGCGGGCAGAGTCCTCCTTTCCCAAGTGGCTTCCCCTTTATTCTAAGTAGCGAACTGAGTCTTCATAGAGTGGCAGGCAGGCACTGACTGAGGCTCCCGTATACAGCTGAGGCAGGAGTAGCTCAGAGAGTCAACTACTGGCCTGGGGTCCACACCCATGCCAGATTAACAAAGGAATCTCCATTTTGTGAACAGAGCTGCTTCTGTCTTGTGGAGTCATTTCCGCTCTGATCCTATTCTGAGAAAGCATGGCTACTGTGAGGGTTTGAATGAGACTGTCCCCCCATGGGCTAGGGTCCTTGAACACTGGGGGCCCCAGAAGGTGCCGCTATTTGAGGCTGTGGAACCTTTTGGAGGTGGAGCTTTGGCAGAGGAATTAAGTCACTGGGGCTGGGCCCACTTCCTGTTTACTTTCTGCTTACCCTTAGGTTTGAAGATGTGAGCTCTCAGCTTCCTGCTCCTGCCTCCAGGCCCACCCCTTGATGCTTCCCCACCATGATGGCATATATATATATATTTTATGTGTACAGTATTCTGCTTGCAACACCAGAAGAGGGCCCCAGATCTCACTACAAATGGTTGGGAGTCCCCATGTGGTTGCTGGGAATTGAACTCAGGACCTCTGGAAGAGCAGTCATTGCTCCTAACCTCTGAGCCATCTCTCCAGCCCCCATGATGGCTTCTTATCCTAGAGTGCAAGTCAAGTAAACTCTTCCTTCTGGTAGCTGCTCTCTTGGTCACAGTATTTAATCACAGCACCAGAAAGGAAACAGATACAGCCCGACATCCAGAGTCCTCACGTGCTGAGCCAAACCAAGCAGGAGTCCTAACTTTTCTGGCTACTTGGGAGATGTAACTTGTCCTGAATTACAGACAGCCCTCATCACACGGCTCCGATACACACAAATCCTGGTTACTTGGGCTTGAACCCCCGCCCCCAGCAGCATGGTCCTCTGTCAGCTGCCGCAGTGACTGACTACAGCCAGCGTAAGCTCCTCTCCATCCTGGCTGGTGGCCGAGCATGGCGTTTCCTTCAAAGCTGCTCTGTGATTGGCCACCGTCACCTGTCCTTCCGCTCACACTCAACCCAGCACGTGGCTCCATCCTCTCCTTGTCTCCCAGTAACAACCTGCACAAGACGCTTTATAAAAACAGGCAAACCAGGTGCTGGATCAGGGGTAGAGCACTTGCCTTGCATGTACAAGGCCCTGGGCTCCATACCCAGAACAGCAAACAACAGAAATAAGGACAAGCCACACAGGAACTGGAAACACATGAGGGCTGAAACTTCAAACACAAGCACAAAACCTAACAAAAAGAGGAAGTGACCAACAGAAGCAAAGCAAGCGCAGCCAGGTGGACCGGGCGCTGTTTCCACACACGAACAGGAAGCTGAAAATATCCACATCCAAAATACACCTACAAAACCAGGTCCAGAGGAACACATGTCAGGACATCACGGTCATCCTTGGCTATAGTGAGTCTGTAGGCCAGTTTGGGCTACAAGAGATCCTGTGTCTCAAAAAGCAAATAAATGCATGTACTCCATTTAATGAACACAACAGCATGGCTGGACCCACCTTGGACAGGTTCAGAACACACTCAGTCTCCCCTTGGTGCAAACCTACATGAAGCGCTGACTCAGGCAATTGTACCAATCTTGTCCGGAGCATTGAAAAACAATGACTGTGCGCCAAGTGGGAAGCTCTGAACAAGTCACACTGCAGAGCCGTCCCTGTAAGCTTTGTTCATCTGCTGGTTTTAGACAAGGGTCTTGCTATGCAGCTCAGGCTGGCCTCCAGCTCACTATGAGACCTAGGCTGGTCTTAAACTCACAGTGACCAGTTGTCAGAACGAGACACTGAAATTCAGAAGGCACACAATGTGGGCAGAGTCAGGCCCCGGGACTCAAAGTTGCTCCCTAGTCTTGTGGATTAAAAATGGAATGGTCAGGCACACAGATGCCAGTTGTAATGCGAGCACTTGGGGGCAGGCAGAGACAGGAGGATTGCTACAGAAAGAAAAAGGAAGATGGGGAGGTAATCAGCTTTCCTCAATAGAAACCCCTCTGCGCCCTGAAGGAAGCCAATGAGAAGGTGAAGGGATATGGGATGTGGAGGAAAGACTGAGAAGGTGGTGCCCAATGAGGGCTTAGACTTCACCAGAGGCCTCCAGTCACTTGACAGTGTACTACGGGGGTTTCGTCATGAATGTGTTGAGCTGCACTCACAGTTATCCAGGGATGCATGAGGCCTCAGGGCTGCTAAAGTGGAATGTTCCTCTGTATGCTGTAAATGTGTTTATTATCACTGGTTAATAAAGAAGTTGCTTTGGCCTATGGCAGAGTAGAATATAGCTAGACAGGAAAGCCAAACTGAATACAAGGAGAAGAAGGTAGAGTTGAGGGAAACTCCAGCAACCATCGGGGAAGCAAGATGTGAGGTAATAAGCCACAAACCTCGTGGCAAAATATAAACTAATAGAAATGGGCTAATTTAAGTTGTAAGAGCTAGTTAGTAATAAGCCTGAGACACTGGCCAAACTTTTATAATTAATATAAGCCTCTTAGTGAGGCTTATTCAGGAACAGGTGGGCACGAGACAAACCTCCATTTACAGGCTGCAGGCTGGATACACCTAGTAGACCAAGAAACACTGAAAAACAAAAGGCCAACTCACAGTCAAGACAGCTCAGTGGCCAAGGATACAAACCAATGTTTCTCCAAAGAAGATGCATGAGCAGACAGCAAGCACCCAAAAGATGCCTAACGCCATTAGAAATGCCAACCAAAGCCACAAGGAGCCACTGTGGCAGCCACAGTGCTGTGAGAATCTCAACCAGAAAGAAATGTAGTGAGAGGCGGGGACCAAACTCACAGCTCACACTGCAGGCAGCAGGAGTTGCTCCAAACTGAAACCCTGGCACCTAGAAGATCCAGGCATATGCTAAGAGAAATAATACTATACATCCTTGTAGAATCTTAACATAGAATCTGGATATACACCTACAATCCTGACACTCATGAAGCTGAAGGAGGAGAATCTCAAGTTCAATGTCAGCCTAGGTTATAGAAGTCACCAGATCCACTCTTTAAAACCGAAACCAAGCGGGCGGTGATTGCTCACACCTTTAACTGCAGCACTCGGGAGGCAGAGGCAGAAAGATCTCTGCAAGTTCGAGGTCAGGCTGGTTTACAGAGAGAGTTTCAGGACAGCCAGGGCTACACAAAGAAACCCAGTCTCAAAAACATGAAGCAAAACAACAATAACAAAACAAAACATAGGCAGGTGGCCCACATCCAAAATCCAGGAGGCAGAGACAGGAGGATCTCTATGAGTTCAAGGCCTGCTAGGGATAAATGGACAGTTCCAGACCAGTCACTGATACATAATGAGACATTGTCTCAAAAGAACAAATAGATAACAAAACAAAACCCAGAACTGAATGAAAACGCCCAAACCCTTTGTACAAGGATTCTCCCAACAGCAGCACCCAGCACCCCGTCAGTCACAGGCCACACAGGCAATCAGATGGAGCAGAATCAGTGCAAATCTGGCTCCACCACAGCCAGACCTCAAAAGCACCAAGGGAACGACCGCAGGCTGTCATGAAATGCCATTCATATGAAATGTCCAGAAGAGGGAGTCAGCAGGGACAGGAAGTGGACATGCTTGCCAAGTGGGGTGAATAACGGGCGGTTGTTGCATCACTCTTTTGGGGTGATGCAAATGAACTGAAAGTTTGGTGATGGTCATATAACCACATAGGCACACTCGAGACTTACCAGGGCATTTTATGGGGAATTTTATGGTATATGAGTTACATGTGAATAAAAGTTCATACAGCCAGTGCACAAGCGGCAGGTCCCTCAAGGATGGTGGCGGTGCAGGTACATCGTGGGGCTGGAAATTCACTGAGCGTGCCTGTACTTTCTCCATCACACACAGCACCGTGTCACAGTATCTGAGTGCTCAGGGCAGTGACCTGCTGGTGCCGGGGAGCACGGGGAAGGCTACACTCTGCACCACAGGTGTGCAGTTGGATCAACAATCTAGGCTTATAAAGGCACACTCTGTGATTACCTCACATGGTGGAAGTGTCTAGGGATGCCTAGGTGTCCTGTGACCAAAATGCATGAGGCTCTATGTACACGGGCATGCGTATGTGCGTGCACACACACACACACACACATATAAAGGGAGAAAGGTGTGATGCAAATGGCAGACTTCAACTGTGACTGTCCCTCCTAGGTGGGGTGGACAGACCCCTGCTCACGTCACTGACGAGCCCTTACGAGGTGGTGGGTAACTATTGTATGTAGCCATCAATGGCTCCATCCATAGACTCTCTTGCCGGATCAAGACCAATGACCAGCTATGCATTGGAAGCACAATCAGCTGCAGTTAATTTTCATTTGAGGCAAGGTCAAGATACATCAGGATGGGCTTAAACCCGATATATAGCTGAGGATGCCCTTGACCTAGCTGATTTACTGCGGAGGAGAGCTAGAGTGGAAAGAGATAGTTCTGAACGGCCGTGGACCCTAGAGTCCACAGCCAGCACAGCAATAGGCTTGTCTACTGCCATTATGTAAGGATTTCTGGCATTTTGCTCGGCGCTGAACCCAGCATCTCCCATCACCCTGACTTTTACCTACTTTCTAATCAGGAGCTGGGACACAGGGTGTCTTCTCTAAACCTTACCTCCCAATCCATCCTAGGGAGTAGGGTAACCAGTAGAGCTGGAGGCCTCTTAGAGAGGAGATGGCAGCCACAATTAAAGGGTCAAGAGTGCTGGGCCCCGCCTACTCTGGATTTAAAGATGTCCTCTTTGCCCTCTGCATTCAGCACAGTCTTTCCCTGTGTGTAGTGCTGGCAACAGAACCAGGGCCTCACACATGCCAGGCAAGAGATCTTCACCGGCCAACACCAGACCAACCAGCAGATTTGGTTAGATTTGTTATAAGAAACCTTGAGGAAAATGGGGACCCTGGGCTGGCCAGATGCGCTAGGGACACCGGGGTGCCACAAGTAAGCAATAAGCACAGGGCCTGGGGACTCACCTTGCTCCGTTCTCTATTTGACTCTGGCCAGCCCCCTTCGTGTCCCGGGCCTCAGTTTACCCACACAAGGGCCCTTTCAGGTGGGTGTGGGGTTGTTGACTCCTGTGGGTTTATCCTCACACCCTGCCTTCACAACCGAGGGGAAGGTTCGCGGCTGACTTTCCCAGATATACTTTTGAGTCTAAGGACAGGATGCTCTGTGTCAGGGCTAGAGGTTAACAGCACAGGGTGGTAACACTTCACTGAGCCAGCTGCGTGGCTGTTGGGAGGTAGCATGGCTACCCTGGACTGTATGGCAGCTGCGAGCTCTCTCAAAGCCACGAGAGTGTTCCTCTGTCCTCAGCTCCCTCGCAGCTTGGTTCCCAGCTAGTCGCAGGAAATGAGGGGTGTTCGCGGCTGGACAGTTTCCTGAATGGCACTGGGTCATTAAGCAGGTGGGCCCTTCCTCTCCGACAGAGTAAATATCCTCTGGAAGGCACGGGGCAGCAGGGAATGTGGACATTATCTCAAGCCACTAAGTTCCACCCTGCTGGCCCTAGAAGGGTGTCTCCAGGAGGGTGGGGTGTGGGCCTTCCCTCCCTCACCCCAGTCACACAGATGGGTTTCCCAGGCAGGACTGGCTTGCACTCACCGGACACCCTCGTTGAGGATGAAGAGCTCCTGGTCAGGCAGCCCCTTGCGCTGGAAGACAGCGATCACGCCGTTATGGATGCTGTGGGGCAGACAGGAGAATGGTCACCCAGAGGCATGGGGCTTCTCGCTTCCTTCTGGGCCTGTCCTCTCCTGCCTTTCCGGTCCCATCCAGTTCTCCTCAGCCCCTCCTGAAATCATGGGTGTGCCCATGCCCTGCTAAGACTCCAGGTCTGGGCTCCTGATACAAAGTCTGGCTCACCGGAACTTGCCAGGCATCCTGCACGCCCTCAAGTCCAACCTGGGTAGACCTTCCCTTCCTTCCTGCATGCTTTTAATCCTCCCGGCCAGGACAGATATTGGGGTCCCTTTACATCTCTTCTCTCTCTGCTTTCCTTACGTCCTCCTAACTTTGCCTCCACATCCCAAGACTTCCAGCCCCTATGATGGAGCCCCAATAGTTACTGGGGGCCCAGCCCCCAAGCCCTTTCTAATGTCAACAGTGAAACTGACCCTGTCCAGGCCCTGCTGATTATAACTCTCTGAAGCAGGAAGCTGCAAACACTTTTCTCTAACGGGCCAGAGGGTTAGCTGTTAAAGGTCTGAGGTCTACCCAGTCTCCCACAGCTAGTCAGCTATCTGCTTCAAAATTGTGAAGTTGGGAATGTTTACCAATAAAACTTTATTATTCATACATCAGATGATGGATTGGGTTTGGCTCATGAGCTTGCTTCAGCAGCCCTGCATAGATGTCAGGGAACCCCTGAACTGAACCTACCTAGGAATTAACCTAGGCTGCCATGGCTGAGCCAACAGTTCCCCCTGACACCCCTAACATAGCCAGCTGACCATTTCCTAGGCCAGTCCGGGCTGCTCAGTTCCCCCCCCCCCCCCCCCCCCCCCCCCCCCCCCCCCCCCCCCCCCCCCCCCCCCCCCCCCCCCCCCCCCCCCCCCCCCGCCACCCCCCCCGCCCCCCCCCCCCCCCCCCCCCCCCCCCCCCCCCCCCGCCCTCAGGCCCTTCACTAACTCCAGCCTGATGGACAGCCCGAAGGAAAAAGCCTGGGATGAATCCTGCTCTAGGTTCCAGACCTTGGTGTTCTTTTCCATACATAAACTGAGTGAACACAGCTGGCCACCTCCTGGGGGCCTACAAAGCCTTTTAGGGATGGGTACTCAGGACACCTTGGCCACATCCAACCCAGGGGCCACTCACTGTATGTGGTCCCCACCAACAAGAGGTGGGGACAGTCAGACCACAATTAGAGAAGAAAACACATTTCTGTTCAGTAGGACCAGAATTGAGATGAAGCAATGGCTCACAGTCCTCCCAATCCTATTTTTAGGGGTACACAGGTTAGAACCTGCTCCTTTTGACTCTCAGTTCTATGAGGCTCTGTGGGCCCTTGTCAGTTTGGAGAGAGGGAGAATAGAGAGGGCAAGAGGACCCCATGTGATCTGCCACCCTGAAACACAGAAGCGAAACCCTTCCTATCTCAGCAACAGCCTCCTGGCCAGAGTGACAAGCCCAGTCAGGACATCTGCAGAGGGTCAGTCCCCAGGAAACCACAGGAACAGAGGGATTTCCGGGTGGTGGACAGGGAAGGGCATCCTCAGGTGTAGATCCCCACCCCTCTCTAGCCTCCACTAAAAAACCAGGTTCTCAGTGCAGGCAGGCCAGGCCCTAGCCTTGGAGCCTGTATCACCTCACTGTGTGAACACAGGGAGATGCAGAAGCTCAGCCTGAGGCAGACTGCCACCGGAGGAGGAACAGCCCAGTCCTGAGGCTCCAGGACACTCACCCATGGCTACCCTGGTTCCACTGAGGACTGGCACCAGGGGGCTGATTCCTGCAGGGAGGGGTGGGGGCACTATCTCTCCCAGATACCAGCCTGCTCTGGACTCCTCGGAGGCATCTGGGGACACGGAAATGAATGCTTGTTTCTTATTTGCCAGGGGCCCTCCTTAATGCACCAGGAAGCTGGATGACAGGCCATGCCCCCCACCTCAGACCTGGTTCTTAACGCCCTGGCCCAAGTAGGGAAGAAGAACCAGGAGTATCTCATGACTGCTAAAACCACTTAGTGGTCTACAGCAAGTCAGATCTGCTCTGACATCTGGGAGGCGGCGGACCCGTCACTCACCAGACTGGACTAAAGTCCAGCACAGCACGGACCCCTCCTAGGGAGGCTCCAGATGAAATGCTCTGCATTGTCCAGCTTCTAGAAGCACCTGTGTCCCTTGGCTCCAGGTCCTTCCTCATCTTCAAGAATGGCGAGGGAGGACTCTAGGTCTCAGCTCTCTGGTCGCATCTCCTTCTCGGAGATGTCCCGCCCATCACACAGTCTGCATAAAACCACCTAGACAGTCTGGGGGCCATCTTCTCAGGCCCAGCAACTGCAGTGTAACCACATCTGCTAAGCCTCCTAGCCACGTGAAAGCCCACACCCATAGGCTGAGAACTAGGGCGGGGCCACTTTGGGGCCACTGTTCAGTTGACCACACCTACACTGGGGCCCAGGACAGAGTAAGGCAGGGTGAGTGAAGGCCTGGAGCCCTAGGACCCTCGCCTGGAAGCTCTGGCTCAGTCCTCTGGTCCTTAAAGACACCATGAGGGGCTCTGAATATTTCAGAGTCGAGCCTGGGTGGGATCTGGTCTCTGATTCCTCTCACACTTTGGGCCTATGTGGTCCCTGTAGTTCTCCTAATCCCAATTTTCTCTTCTGTACATCAAGTATATTAAAGCTCCTCCTAAGGTTCCCGACGGTCCTGCTCCTTGTTCCCACCAGAGTTCCCTGGAAAGACAGCTCTATCTAATGCTTGCTTTACCCTGCCCCAGCAGAGACAGGAAGCATCCCTGGAGGCATCCCCGACACTGGGTTCCTGGGTGAGCCGGGTTCAGGTCCCAGACACTGCCGTCAGGGTATCTCATTCTCTTTACTGACAAGGACAGCCCCCTTGGGAGGAGGGCTGGGGGCAGGGACGCACACCTTGCTTGGTGGGGGGGGGAGAGTGTCCCACACTTTGGGGTATACTCCCTTCTGCTCCTGCCTGCCCAGGGCTTCCACTTGCTGGGGGACAGAGGTGAGTGAGGCACTGGTTGAGTGATGGCTCAGAAGGCTAAGAGGAGACCCCCTGTGTTCCCCAAGCACTTTGGGACTACTGTGGATTTTTTAAAATTCTTTTATTTTTTAATAATTTATTCAACTTTATTTTATCAGATCCCTTGGAACTGGAGTGACTGGAGTTGTGAGCTGCCACGTGGGTGCTGGAAATTGAACCTGGGTCCTCTGGAAGAACAGCAGTGCTCTTAACTGCTGAGCCATCTCCCCAGCCCCCACTATTGTGGAGCCTTGACATCTTTGGGGAGTTTTTCTGGAACCCCTGGGTTGCGAGGTTAGGGACAACAGGGCATATCTTTGGCAGGTGGGGAGGCCTGTTGTGGCCCTGAGCTCTGGGAAGGCAGCAGCAGGTGCTTCGGAAACAGCTCCAAAATTCCAGGTGCTTGTGAGGGACAAGGCAGCATGCCATGCCTCTTTCCGAGAACGCCCCAAGCTCCTGCACACCCAACAGACACAGATAGCAGGGGCAGGCCTGATAGCCAGCAGTCCAGTGTCCCCTGGTTTACATCCTCCAAGTGCTAAGTGCCACCAGTAATTACCTCCTGCTCTGGCAGCCCCTTTGTTTACTTTCTGACTCGGTCTAGGGTCTCCGGCTCTGAACAGGCTGCTTGCTGCTAAACCAAGATCTTAGCCTGGTCCAGCCAACACTGAGAAAATGAATGAATGAATGAATGAATGAATGAATGAATACATGACTGAGTGTGTGGACTATCTTAGGACACGGCAAAGACTTTGCAGGGAATTTGGGGGATGTATTCACTGTCACTATAGTGGGCTGGACACTGTCCCCAGGTGTTTGTGTATAGCTGAAACCTCAAATCTGACAGGGAAAGAGGCTCTTTACAGCTATAATGGGCTAAAACCTAGAGATGAAGTGGTCCTGGGTTGAGGTGGCCCTCAATTGGTGGCTGATGGCCTCATACACAAAAGAAACTTGGGTCAGGTGTGGTGGCACGCGCCTGCAATCATAGAAACCTTAACCTTAGGAGAGGTGGAGGTCGGAGGACTAGAAGTTCAAGATCATCTTTGGCTACCTAGTGAATTCCAGGCCATCCTGGGATATGTTGGGATCTTGTCTCAAACAAAACAAAACAAAACAAAACAAAAACCTAGGGAGCTGGAGAGGTGGCTCAGCAGTTGAGTTGAGAGCACTGGGCTGCTCGGGCAGAGGACCTGGGTTCGGTTCCCAGCACCTACCTGTAACTACAGTTCTAGGGCATCCAACACCCTTTTCTGTCCTCTGCAGACACTAGTCACACACGGGGGGAGGGGGAAGGGGGGAGAGGGAAGGGGGCACTCATACACATGAAATCTCAAGAAACAACAGAAAAAAAAGAAAAACTACTCCATCCAAAACTCAAAACTCAGAGACCTGGCTAAAAAAAAGCTCTGAAGACAGAGACGGAACTAAAAGAAGTCTGCCATGAACCAAGGACAACAGAGCCAGTAGAGGCAAAGCCAGAACCCTCTCTGGAGTCCCTAGAGGGAGGCAGCCAGGTCACCCCCCACATCTAGCTGTGCCAGAACACACTCCTGTTATTTGGGGTGGTCCAGTGTGGCATGACTCTACAGTCCCAGGACACTAATGAGGTCACGGAGGTAAAAGGGGGTCATGCCTGGGCTCAGAATGAGGGCCACAGCTTGGAGGGCTAGCCAGGATCCACAGGCTGATACTGCTGTTGTGACCCTGCTTGAGGCTAATGTCCTGGAGCCCTTGCAGGCTGTACACTGGGAGAGGAGCAGGAAGTCAGGCAGGGGCTGGGAGGGGACTCTGGAAGGGAACTCTGGGCACACTGTCTCAAGCCCATCACTACTTTGTGTCTGAGTGGACACCTGTCTGGGAACGGACCTGGAACCAAGTCATGCAATGGTGTGCAGTACGGGTCCTGGGTGCTCTGGGTAACCCTGTGTCTCTCATCTGGGGTAGAGGGTAGAATTTTCCTTGTTGGCTAAGATCATGACAAGGTGAACTGAGGGCCCTGAACAGGCTGGCACATGATAGGTGAACAGAACACAGCAGAGCCCCGCTGCCGCAGGCAGGGGGAGCCTCCACCCTAAAGGATGGACATAGGAGCTGTTCAGGTACTGTGGGAACTCCAATCAAGCCTCTGCACTCTGACAGGCCACCAAAGGAAAAGCCCTGGGGAGACTCAAGTGATCTCTACTTGCAAGGCCCCCCAGAGCTCTGGCAAAAAGCAGATCCCCTCACAACCACACAAGGTGAGGAGCCATCTAAGTCCTCTGAGCTAGAGGCCCCCCAGGTGGGAGTGAAAGAGTCCCCACAAAGTCACTTTTATTTAAGTTCCCAGACAACACACCTATAGGCGTTCTCTCAATGTGCTCTGACCTGAGTTCTGAGTCACAGGGTTCCTACTGTGCCAGAAGCCATGTCCAGAGGCTTTATTACACATTTTTATAGTTAATCCAACAACAGCCACTCACCCATATCATTGATAGAGAAACTGAGGACCAGAGGTAGTAAGCAAACCACTTAAGGTCACCCAGCAGAGAAGAGTTGAAATCTGAGCCAAGGTTAGCGTGGCTCCACTAAACCCTGGCCAGAGACAAGGAAGAGGGTGAAGACACCAGTGAGCAGCTCTGGGGCAAAAGGAACCTTCCTTCTTACTGTTCTGCTCCCAGCCCAGTGAGGAGAATTGTGCAGGCCTAAGATAGAGGGAAACCGAGGCAGGAAGGTAGTCTTGGCTCTCAAGCGATCTGCAGCTTAGCGGAGGGTGGAAGATAGGGTCCCAGTTGGCAGCCCTATCTTCCCCGGGCTGCTTACTAGATGAACAGAAGACTAGATGAACAGAAGACGTGTGTCCAAGTGACAGCCGAGTCCCTGGTGGCAGACCACAGCGGGCGAAGCACCTGGCAGGATTTCACCGCCAGGTGGAGGGGTGGAGAGGAGAGCCAGCATCCATAGACCTCCCTCAACAGCCTGCCTCACACTCCCTCGATCCGTATTTTACTCTGGGTAGAAATACTTATTTTTAAAGGGGCCAAGAGGAGACCCATTGGGGAACTCGGCTAAAAGAACTATCTGTGACTCTGGCTCTTAAAGTACAGCTGGGGGAGGGGCTTCCCACGCCCGGCTGGTCCGGGATGGGCCTCCGGAAGGGTCCGGTAAGGAATGTCTGGCAGCTGCCGCACCCCCACGGACAGCTGGGAGGCCCGGGGTCCAACTAGGGGGAAGCCACCGCCCACCCCGCGTCGAGAGCCCGACACGCATACAGGAAGTGCAGCGGCGCCCCGCTGGGGCCCCACGAAGCTCAAGTGCGCCCCTGCGAAGTGGGGGCGCAGAGGCAGTTCCTGCTCGGGGCCACCCGCCCCCGGGGCGCGATCGCGGGCTCGAGCCGCCGACACGTTGCACTCGCTTCCCTCCCCGCGCGCGGCCCGGCGGCGGGGCGAGCTGCGCGCAAAGTGGCGCGGTACCGTCTCCGGCCACGCCGCTCCGGGCTGCGCGCCTTACCTGTTCCAGGTGGCGTTGGCGCAGGCTCGGCGCTGCTGCGTGCCCCGCTCGTCCGCACTCGCCGCGCCCGGCTCCCTCTTGCCCAGGTCACTGAGGCTGGGCGAACTCATGAACTTCAACCTGCGAAGAGTCCTCATGCTCACCCCGGCTCACGCGCGCCCCGCGTCCCCTACGACTATACTCGGCTGCTAGCAGCAAGCCCGGCGACCCCGTGGGGTCCCACCCCGGCCCCGCGCCTCCGCCCGGGGCCGCGCGCCCAGCGCCGGGCTCTGTGAACCATTGCTCGCGGCGGCGCAGCGTGGAGCGCTCGGAGCGCAAAAGCAGGCCGGGGGTGGGGCCTCCCTCTGGGCGGGGCGGTGGTGGGCGTGGTCTAGCGTTGGGAGGGCGGGGCTGGCGTCTTGAGCCCTCAACGGCCAAAGGGCCAGTTCTGGGGGCGCTCTCAGGCGCCTCCTTCCTTCCCTTCGGAAGCCACCATACAAGAGCCACACAGCAGTCCAACTGCCCACCCGCCACCCAACATTATAGTCACACACACATACACACACACCCCATGCACAGGGACCCATGGTCTCCCATCAATGTCTCCTGAAGTCACTCCCTCGCCAGCCATCCGTCCCAGGAGAAAAAGCTGTGCCCACAGAGATCCATCCAGACCCCTTCACGTCGACACAAGCTCCTCCCACTGCGGATCAAAGCTTTCAGCCGGTGCCTCAACCATCAGCCCCACCCCACCAGAGTCCAGCATGAACCAGTCTGTCCTAGACCCCTTTCTTAGGGGATGGGCCAGGGACTAGGGTCCTCTCAGGCAGGGATCTTGGATGATTGACTGGCCAGAGGGGTTGCTGCAGTGGGAGCTGAAGGAATGGAGGACAGTGGCACCCCCTGAATCCTAGGTTCCACGGTCTGGTAGAAGTCAGAGTATCCTAAATCCTTGTGCTTGGGCGATATGCTCCTGGGACACAATGCCAAAGCCTTGGGGGCACTAAGAGCAATTTAAATTCTACCTGTTGGGGATGTTGTGGCACCCAGATAACCTCTCCAGGGTTCTGCCACTCAAATATGCCAAGATGAACCTAACCCAGGTCTCATGAACACAGAGTGCCCAACCCTTCACACAGGGGCTTCTGGGAGTCCCACTAGTTTTGCCTGCCATCTCCAAGCACAGGGGGACAGGCATGGCCCTGAGCAGCATTCAGGAGAGCAGAATCAGGTTCAGCTACAACCAGCCAGCATTTCCTAAGTACCCACTGTATACTGGACACCCCCACATTCCTGTGGTAGGAGGCAGCGATAAACAGACAATTCCTTGTTCACAAGAACTGTCACCGAGCCTAAGGCCACTCAAACTACTGTGAAATGACTGACTGGGAAAGGCTGGGCTTCCCAGCCTTCCTCACAGTCAATGGCTCCAGGCTGTCTGCCCATGCCAGCGAGGACCCCATTGGGGGTGGGGGGCCAACAGCAATGGAGCTCACCAGCCCCCAGACAAGGGTGGAGGAGACATGGTAGGCACCATTGATCCGTGGTCCATGTCAGAGAACCCAAGTCTGGAAGGATGAGACATTCAGGTGTGTGTGTGTCGGGGTGGGGCGTGGGGGTGTTCAGAGAGCTTCGACTCCTCATCAAAGCAGGGTTGAAACTGCTCACCCAGAAAGGTGTAAAGCACTCAACCAACTATGGAGCGCAGGGCATACTGGCCAGGAGCTCTGCTCCAGGAAGCAGGAAGAAGCCAGCTTGCACACTTTCCAGCCGTACTGACATGCACGGAGCACTGTCATAGCTGGACAAGGATTTCCCAACTTATTATAAAAAAAAAATACTTCGGGGAAAATCCCAAATGAATTACTGACCCGTCGGCCCATGCTGGTGTGCAGTGGTGGCCAACATGGCTGGGGCAGAGAGCAGTTGCTACCCCATTGCACTAGCCTTGAGAGAGCTGGGTGGCTGCTCTCAGCCCTTGGACTAGCTGGAGCCTTGGGGTAAGTCACTTCTCTAGGGTCTCGGTTTCCTGTGTGGAAAGTGAAGGCCACAAAATCTTGGCTTCACCCTGTCGCTTCAGGACACGCAGGCCAGGCCCTGAGGATTTTTCAACCTGTATCAGGGGTGTCCAATCTGCTGGCCACGAACACTCTTTATGGGGATAGCTATAGATGTCGGACAATATCAACTTGCAAGCCTAACTCAGCACCTGCATACGGTAGCTCACAACTATCTGTAACTCCAGCTCTAGGAATCTGACACACTCGGGCACTGCATGCAAGTACACAAGTCCACACTCAGATACACACATAGACTCGTAATTAACATTGTAAATAATAAAAAAGAGGTTAGAAACACTTCCTAGACCCTCCTCTTGACTCTACCTGTTCCTCTCCTCCCTATCCCTAGTCCTTAGCTTCTCTAGCCTGGACTACAGACCCCTCCCGACCATTCTCTCCAAGTCACACCTGTTGCCCTCACGAACAGTAGCTGGAGCTGCTCGTGGCACACGCTGCCCTCCTGAGTTCCCACTGTGCCGAAGAGCAAGTCTGAAGCTGCCAATCCATGAGATGCCTACAAGACCTCCATGTCTCCCTGATCTCCAGAACATCCTTCAGTGAACACCAAAGATCAAGGTCATCTCCCCCTTCTGACTGCCTCTGCCCTTGTTCAGACTTAGGATGGCTTTCTAGACATTTCCTATCAGAGCCAGGGGCTGTGACATGCTCATAACCCCATTCTCCATCCTTAGCACACAGTAGGTGCTCCATAGGAATGGCTAGATATACTCATTTCATATTTTAGGCCATATTGGTGGAAATCAAGACGCATAGACAGACGTGAGGCAGCCCTGTCTCTACCGCTGATGTAACTGCAGAAGAACCCTGGGCTCTTCAGAGAAGCCTGACCTTGTACCCAGCACAGATGGGCAGGGTAAGGTGCAGGACTGACCTCTGGCTACCTGCCTGGAAGGAGTGGCTGGCTGGGAACAGGGAGGCAGTCTGGGCTGCTCTGAAAGAGCAACCAGAGGAAAAGAAGAGGTGAGGGGAGACCACAGGGGTGTGGGGTGGGGAGTGAGCTACAGGGGGTCCTGAGGAAGAGGTTAGAGAACAGCCAGGGTCTAAAAGGACAAATAACATGCTGAATAGGGGTATGGGGTACACGGTTGTGAGAATCAGAAGACATATCTAGAGCCAAGGGTAGGGGTGCTCCTCTGTAATCTTGGTAGTTGGAAGGCTGAGACAGGAGAATTGCCTTGAGTTTGCAGCCAGTCTGGGCTCCATAGTGAATCACAGACTCTTAGGCGACAATGTCTCAAGGAAAGGAAAAGAGGAGAGAAAATATCTCCGGAGAGAGTGAAGAAATGAGCTGTCTCCGCCCCAGCAGACTTACACTGGCTACACCCACACCCAATGCAGAAGTGTGACAGAGACGCGGGGGTGCAGTGCTGCCGCGTGTTGGGGCTGGTGGTAGGAAGCGCGGATGAGAGTTGGCGGTAGGCAGCAAAGGGCATTCACACATCCCCTAAGATGCCAGTGTCCCCACCTCAGAACCACAGCTTCCTCTCATGGGATCCAAGTGTTATCCAACCTCCAACTGGCCAGCAAGGACTCTGAGACAGGATCCTGCCCACGAAGTGAGACTCTAAGAACATCAGGGCTGTCTTGCTGGGAGTGAACCCCAAGTGAGCAGCCGGGGTTGGGGCCCATCTAATTTTGCTGCCAGGTCAGCTGACCTCTAGGGACTCAGGGAATCCATTTGGGAGATGGGCAGCTTCTCAGAATGTGAGGGTCAAGGAAGAAACTGAAGCCTGTAAGGGTCCCGCACTCCCCACAGCCCTCTCCAACTGATGGGGTATGAAGGTACTGAGGGGCTGGCCCAGATGGTTCACACTCAGGGCGGAGTACTCTCCAATCCAGACCTCTGTCCACTAGGACAAGATCACAGTGCACTTTCACCTGCTCGTGACAATGACAGGGGACAGAGAGCTTATTTGAAGAAACCAGTTGAAGATGGGTCCCTGCCAGGGGTGGGAAGGACAAGAGACAGGGCAGAGAGGCAAGACTTGAACACACTGCCCCATCTGGTGCTCCAAAGGCTGTGCTGTTCTCTGGAGGTGAGGGGATCCCATGTCCCAGGAGAGAAATGGAGGCTTTGGGACACATGAGCAAAATCTGTGTGGCCGAAGAGGCATGGCTGAAGCTGGAGCCTGGCCTGGTGAGCAGGAGAGACAGAGCCCCAGCTCAGTCATGGTTACCTACCCACCCCAAACACACCCTCACTAGGCTCTCCTCCCGAGAGTTCCTAGAGGGAGCACTTGCCCCGTTAGCAAGGCCTGGCAGTTCCCCAAAGCTGACTAGTACCATGTCTCTAGCAGCCGTGGCAGAGTTGGCTCCTAACCCCGGGGTCCCACATACCCAGGAGAGGACCAGTAGGTAGCTAAAGAACATGCCTGGCTCTGCCTCTCTGGCCTGTGCCCCCGGGGCCATGTCTCATCCTTTCCTTGGTGTGCAGAAGATGGTGAAACAGGAAAATTACAAGTTGTACGTCATTCCAGGAGCTTGGAAACTCCTGTTAGAGAGGAACAATGGGAAGGGGCAGTGAGCCAGGGCTGCAGAAGTCCAGGAACCTGTCACCATAGGGTAAGACGAAGCTAGGCTCTTGGAGGCCCTTCTCTCTGTACCCCAAAGCCAGCTGACCAGTCAGCGTTCTAGACAGGACAGGCGTCCACTGGGCTTGTGAGAAGCAACAGACAGTGCCATCTGCCTCCTCACTCCATGCTACCTTCCCTCAGGTCCTCCTGAAACCTCGCCTGGCTGGTCCTGGTCCTCTGTCCTAAATATGTCTTCCCTCCTGTGTTGCTGGCTGCTGTGGGATTCTGACCAGCAGAGATCCCTCGGATCTGACACCACCGTCACTATAACCATGTGACCCCAAGACACTCTCTGCCTCTAATCCTCAGTGAAGGTCTTGGACATCAGTTTTCAAAGGTTCTTTGGGGAGAGTGGTTTTGAACCCTGGTTCTGATCCGTCCCTCAGCACCCCGAGGGAAGTGAGGTTCCCCATGGAGCTGAATCTGGAAGTGGCAGAAAGTTAAGGTTTGATTCCCTTAGGGAGATCTGCTCCTGCCCTGCCAAACGCACCGCAACTATTAGCCTTGGACATGGCGACCCTGCTTCATGTGGGTGCTTGACTACGGGGCTTGTCCCCACTCCGTGGACGAAGGCCCCATGCCAGCAGTGGGGACCGGCAGGTTGCCAGCTTGCCTTCCTGCTCTGTGCTCTCCTCAAGGCACCTTCTTGCCAGTAGCTTTTTCTTAGAAGAATTCTTGGAAAGAATGAAAGTGACTTAGGAATC